CTTGGAGCTGACACCAGTGCTAGTCCACCCATCAGAGCCATCTTGGAGCTGACACCAGTGCTAGTCCACCCAACAGAGACATCTTGGAGCTGACACCAGTGCCTAGTCCACCCATCAGAGCCATCTTGGAGCTCTTTCAGAATGGCCATCAGAGCTGTCACAGTATTCCCCCTTTATGTCCTAAATGTTACCCAAATGTATTCATTTATCTTTGGTAAAGAAAAAAGTTATGGGGGGACAGATCCTGTGAGTAGTGAGGGTTTCCCAGTGATCATTTGTTTAGAGGCTGACACGTCCTGGGAGTTCCTCACTACTGTTCACCAGCAAGCTCCTTCAGGATTATTTTTACACATAGTCTTTCTCGTGGTAAGATTTTCAGTTCAGATTTTACTAATTCTCTCCCGATGTTTACTCGGTCTGCTGCACTCTCCTAGTCAGCCAGTGATTCGGACCCGCATGTCAGTGAGTTTCACAATGTTTTCATCTGTCCTGCTCCTTACTTCCCACCCTGACCTCCCTTCAGCAAGGACACTTTCTCTCCCCTCTTCAAAGGGTTTGACTCGTACACGGCCAATGACTTCATGGCATAAACTTGGACTAACGCATCCCTGATTTCACTTCTACACCTGCAAGTTTAACAAGAAATGTAAAATCTGTTCACTGCTCTAATTCAAGCTCTGAGATTCTTGTGACGGCACACAAAATCACACAACAGTAATGAATGCCACTCAGCAGGACACCACATGTCAACACGAACACAACTGGGAGAGGTGACATGCCAAAGTCATGAAACTTCTCGAGTTTTTCATACGGTGATGCTAACTTGTATGGTGAAAAGTTTATGAACTTACTTGTCAGACCTTATATATGTATGAGGTATATTGTTTATATAGATCCATATAAATGTGGACATACATATCTATTGATTTACAGCACACACACTGAGTTTGCCTCAACCTTTCCATGCTTCCTTATGCTTCCTTTTCTCTTCTACATTCAAAGAGGGAAAAATTACTTTTTTATTTTTCTTTGAAACAGATTCTCACTATGCCCCCCTCGGTAGAATGCTGTGGTGTCATATATCACAGTAACTTCAAACTCTTGGCCTCAAGTGATTCTCTTGCCTCAGCCTCCCAAGTAGCTGGAACTACAGGCACCCACCACGAAGCCTGGCTATTTTTTAGAGACTAGAGTCTCGCTCTTGCTCAGGCTGGTCTTGAACTTGTGAGCTCAAGCAATCCACCTGCCTCAGCCACCCAGAGTGCTATGTGTGAGCCACTGCGCCTGGTGAGACATTTAATTCTTAATAATTATTGATAGAAAAATTAAGTGTATACAAAACAATATTATTTATCATATGCATTCCAAGTGATTCTGACATGACCTTTCATGTCAATATGTTTAAGAGGAATTTCTAGAATTTTGACTAGAATCTAGCTAGTGACTTGGTATTAAATTTAGCTACTTACAACATTATCTATTTTTGAAAAATTGTCTATTTAATCAGGTAGAGAAATGGGCTTATTTGAGTAAGCATGATGTATATGGTATATATACACACCATGTATAAATATACACACACACATACACATGTATATGTAAATGCATGTATATATATAGTTGAGTAAGCATATATATGTGTATGTATATATATATATGTATCAAAAACTACATAATGTTAATTTTCCTTTCAAGACTTTAATCAAATATTTCTATTCATATAATAATTGTTATACTTATAAATATAAAAATATCAGCTCCATCACCCATCAGAGTTAATATCACTTTGGGCTGCCAACCAGCATACTTTCTAAATGTTTTGTAAATTTTTAGCGTCATGAAGAAAGCAGATATTCTTTCCAGATTAAAGCTTCAGCTATTTGTGAAGCAAAGTACAGTAGTAAAAATTGAGTCTGGAAAAAAAAAATGCCCTTCTGACTTTTCATTCCTCTACTGCAAAGTATGTAAGAAATAGCAATAATATTCAATCATCTGAACATAGTTATTTAGCTCCTACTGTGTGCCAGACAGGTGGCAGAAACAGGATGAAAAGGAAGTTACAGGATGGTTACAGCTGAAAGCTTCAGCAGTGAGTCCCAAATCAATTACTCCCGTTACTACCAAAGGTACAATGGTTTGGTAATACTAATACAATAGGCACTCAAAAATACTGAGATTGTTTTTAAAAATATTATTAATGTAGATTCTCAGCTTAGGGAGGATTGGCCAAATCAGATTCCTTTATTTTAAACTTAGCGTCCACTATGTATTTTGACTTGGTTTTTTTTAAATGCCATCATGCAGAGAGAAATACATTTTTTTCTTTTTATACTGAGGATTTCATGGCCACTGAATAGGCTCTAAAACTCATGTTGTCAAACTAATTCTGTATAAAAATCTAGGCCAATTACACTGGTCTCATATAACAAAATTAACTGGATTATAAATAAGATGTTGTGGCTTTTACCCTTTTGGAAATTGTTTTGGTGCCATGGTATATTTATGCTGCCATGACAAGTAAAACACCTGTATAGGCTAGATACCAGAGGATAGCCTTAGTGGGCAGAAAATGCCAGAAATTACACCACCAACGTCTTATAACCAACTTTAATACATTAATAACGGAGGGAAAAGTTGAAACACAAAAGGCCAATTAAGCCATTAAGATTAACAAAGTGGGCCAGCCTGGGGGCAATCCTTGCACTCTGGGAGGCTGAGGCAGGAGGATCACTTGAGGCCAAGAGTTCAAGACCAGCCTGAGTGACAGCAAGACCCCATCTCTACAAAACAGAAAAATTAGCTGGGTGTGGTGGCACACGCCTGTAGTCCCAGCTCCTCATGAGGCTGAGGCAGGAAGATGTCTTCAGCTTAGGGGTTTGACATTGCAGTGAGCTGTAATGACACCACTGCACTCTATTCCAGGAGATAGGGCAAGACCTTATCTTAAAAAAAAAAAAAAATACAAATTAAACATGAATTTTCTCATTTTCAAAATGGTTCCTTGATGTCATGTAGAAAGCAATTTAACAACTTAACTTCAAATTTCACTCACACGTGTGTCTTTAAACCATAGGTTCAGATAGAAGAATTAAATCTAAATATCATAATTTACTTCTCAAAGGATTCACAACTGTAACTCAAAAAGAAAACAAACCGGTCATAAGGAGGCCGGACACTAATTCAGTGCTTCTGAGGCCACTGCCTTATCTCTTGCCCTTTTTATCTTCCTTCCTTATTTCCTCTTCCCCCTTCATCCCTGCTTCTCTTTCCTCTTTCCTTTTTAAACATCAGACTAACTTCTCAATTGGCGAGAATCTTTCTTTGTGCTGCCCGAAACACATACTTAGTCTACTAATTCAGCATAAATGCCAGTACAGGCATCTTCAAAAATAGTTCAGATCTTAAAATCTAAAGGCAATCTTTATAATTTTTTCATAAATATGGAACCTAAGTGTTGGTTTTCATTCATCTTTGCATCTGTCTTTTTCTAGACTATTTATATATTTATAGGGTGGACATAAAGCTCGTGTGCAATTAAATCTTTCAGGCTATTCGTACTATTATAAGCCATTGTATTCTCTGCAAAGAGTCTCAGGTCATGAATATTCATTTCATGCTTTCTAATTTCTTCAATAAAAAATAGTCTTACCAGCAATAGGCGGGCCGAGAAGAACGGGGCCGCACTCCACAACCGTGGTGAGGCCCACAGCACTGGAGAATCTCTGGGCACCGACAAGGTCCATGAGCGTCTCAAAGAGAACGCTGCTGACACTCCCAAACCCAAGGCCAAAAAACACAGCGTAGACCACCAGGCTGGTGTAGGTGCGAGCCAGTGGGCACAGCAGATGGCACACTCCGTTGAACATGACGGCAAAGCTGAAGAAGTACTGGATTCGGGGTCGGACATACTTGGAGTTTGCAATCAGTCCTCCAGAAGGCCGGGCAAACATGTCCACGAAAGCCATGACGGACAGGAGCAAGGCTGCAGAGTACTCATCTACACCCTGGTCCTTAGCAAATGGAGCCAAGAATATAATGGGGGCAAAAAACCCTAAAAACATAATGACGTTTCCGGACAGGTATATGAGAAATCCTCTATGCTTAAAAAGGGAGAAATCTAAATACTTATTAATTTTTTCCCATACTGATTTCTTTTTGTGGGTTTGCTTCAGATCCGAATCATCTCCTTTTACGCCAATCTTATTTTTAGACTTAGTAGTTTGTTTCGGTTCAAGGGGTCTCATGAGGGCCCCAGCCACACAGGCGTTCAGAAAGATGCCTCCCAAAATCAAGAAGCTTCCCTTCCAGCCGTAGGTGTTAAACAGGTACTGGTTGAAAGGAGCCAATGTACTCAAGAAAACGGGACTTCCTGCCATGGCCAGTCCATTTGCCATAGGTCGTTTCAAATAGAAGTATTTGCCAATGATTGTTAAGGCCGGTTGCAGGTTGAAGGCCAAACCTAAGCCTGAAAAGAGAGACATGAAAGAGCGAAGCAAAATAAAACCCATCACACCCGGGAGAAAGAAATCTCCTCTCTCTGCACACATTCACATGCATAAGATTGGGCTCATTTTGCAACAGCAAAATGTAATGTAATTGCATATAAATTGCATACAATTACATATAAATGTAATTGTACAAAAACAAAAATGTTCTCCTAACTGGGCACTTGACCTGACAGTTTCCTATTCCTTTAATTTTAAAGCAAGGGGACAAGAGCAAGAACTTCTCGTGATGGATCAATACTCTTAGAATAGGTTGAAACTGTAGGTCGAAACCAGGACAATATTACTAGTTCTCAATTAAAATGATTTTGCTCCACAGATAAATTAATCTTTCCTCTTACTGGATATTTTTATACACATATATAGACTAGATTTTCTCCTTGTGCACAAGAGTGCCATCTAGAAACGTGAATATTTTCCTTTCACGGTTAAAGGAACGTGAACAGACTGGAAAGGCTGTGACAATCTTATGTCTCTCACAGCTATTGCTTTCCATGCTAAGCAAATAATTTATGTTATTAATTATGTTCTCTACATCCTTTGCATTCCAATGTATTTAGAGGCACATGTATGTTAGCTAAAAAATAATTTTTTTTTGTTTGAAAAATATGTCTGATGCATTGATTAAAGCAGAGATCATTTATATGACCCTCACTTCCTAGGGCCTGGGGAACTCCTTGGCAGTACTGAGTAGCACCTTTAAGAAATGCATGCTCACCTGTAGCTCTCCAAGGCACCATTCATCAATAGTAATGAATAAGGTCCTTCAAAGAGGACACAGAATTCATTCAGATACTCTACCTCTTTTGCCGCCTTAGCCTAAGCATTATTTCATATTATTTTAGGGGCCAGAGAAGTAAGAATTCTTATATATTTACTAATTTACCTAAATTGAAACAGTATTGCAAAATGGTTAAGTACTCAGGTTCTGGGACACACAGGCCTGAGTACAAATACTTACTCCAACCCATCAACATAAACTTTTTTTTTTTTTTTTTGAGTAGAAAACTCCCTAAGAGCTTTCAAGAAAGACCCTAAACTACAGGTTGGAGAATAATAGGGCTGTGCTGTCTAACTGCCTCAGCTATGCCTGTGAGCTACGTAGCAAAAGTAGATTCAACTTATAAATAATGAAACTGAGAAGCTCGTGCTCCAGTCGCCTGTCAGTGGAGGAACGCCAAGTAAAGCGAGGTATTGGGTTTCAAGTTCATGTCTCTTGATCTCATGGCATCTGCCCCATTCATTCACCTGCAGCTTTTGCCTTCAGATGTTAATTCACGTTTTCATCAGGAAATAGCTGCCTTCTAGTTCATTGGAGCATAATAAAATGAAGGTGCTCCCCCCAGGTCATCCATCACCCATGCTGTAGGGCTGGGCAAGACAGTCAGACTTCCTGAAATCCAATTCCCTCAACAACATAAAAAGAGTTTTCCTAAATCAAGTAGTACGAGAACTATGAGATATTAAATAAAAGGCATGGCATTGTGAATATTATTTGGTAGTCTTTGCTCATAAATAGCAAAATGCTGAGTACTTAGTAATGTCCTGTCTATTCATTGTTTACATTAATCATTTCAACAACTCCTGCAGAAAAGAGCTATTATTTCTCCTATTTCACAGTCAACAAGACTGAAGCATGAGGAGGTTAATGTAGCTGGTTGCACAGAGAGTATGTTTAAAAACGACATCTGCCCGCTTTCAGAAACCAAAGTGAGAGAATTGAATGATAATGATGTGAGGTGATCTCTCATAGACGTATTAAACGGTTGACTCTGGACCAAAGCCTTCAATACTCAGAGGAATAAAACTGTAAGTTAGAATGACAGTAATGCTATTAATGTCTGTGGAACAGGAAAGACCCAAGTCATCATCTCCCCATTCTATCCACTTGGAAGCCCATCCTGATTTCTACTATCTAATGAAGTCACACGTCTACGGGAAGGCAAGGGCATCCTTTCCACTATGAAAACGCTTAGCTATGGACACAGTGCACCATTTTATACAAGGGGCTTAAGCGTTTATAAGTTTCAGTATCTGTGGGGAGTCTGAGAACCAATCTTCCATAGAAATTGAAAAATGGCAGTATTCTCCGGGAAAGCCATCAGAGATGTCCAATCTTTTTAGTTTTTATTCTTCTGCCACACACTGGAGGAAGAAGAGTTGTCTTGGGCCACGCATTATAAGCACAGACATTAATGAAAGCTGATGAGCAAAATAGTCATAATAAATAAGTAAATAAAAGAAAAAAGAAAAGGTCTGTGCACAAGTCTAGCAATATCTGACACATCAGGTAAGTAGAATAGGCTGATACAATCTTCACTGGGTGCATGGGGTGCAGGGTGGACCCCCTTGCAGGTGCATGATAAACTCCTGCAATGGGAGTAGGACCAGGTTATGTGACAACATGCACACCACACCCAGTGCCCCCAAGGTGCACGTGTATTTGTCCATGTGCGTCACAGATGTGTAGAAGGAGGCGTACAGTTGTTATTGAGGGTCCTGTGTGATAGAGTATGGGGGGGCAGAGAATGATTACTGGGGATCTTTACTTTGAATTTACATGATGTATTTCTGTTTGCATTATTTTTGTTTTATAACTGGCATGCCTTACTTTTATAATTAGTTTCTGTAACCTAATAAGTCTATTTCTACCTTAGAAAAAATAAGAAAGAAAGTATTTTGACAAAAGAAGCCTTTCCTTTACAACAACGAAGTGTGTTTTGTCTTATCCAAAAGGGAGAAGGAGACCTGGGCAGGTCGTAGAGAGGAAGACCTCAGCATTACTGTTACTGTAGGTTTTAATGCATCTATTTTTTTCATTAAATGAAACATGTGTGTAAGGTTAGCCTGATCTAAAAATCAACTATGAGAAACAGAAATATTTTTATCTTCTTATCTTTGGGGCACAATGGAAAGATTCAGTCTCTTTACGTATTAAAGTCTAATTTTTCCCAAAACTTTGAATGAAGACTTTTTAATGAAATTTATATTTCAAGCTAAAAACAGTGCTTTTCAAATGTGCATATACTGGTTAGTCTGTTTCATAGACATTATTCAGGAGAAGCCACTAAAATAACAATACATTATTTTAAATATTCGCGTTAGCGGCAAATATTTCTCATGGAGCTTTTTAAACAGGATCATTTAAACAAGGAAAAGAAGGGACAGAATTAATGAGCTCTACCAATAATCAGAACACAGATAACAATAATTTTATTGGCTTGGTGACCATAGCACAGTGATTATGGCACCAGCCACATGCACTGAGGCTGTTGGGTTCCAACCTGGCCCGGGCCAGCTGGACAACAATGACAACTACAACAGAAAAAATAGCAGGGCATTGTGGCTGGTGCCTGTAGTCCAGGCTACTCAGGAGGCTGAGGCAAGAGAATCACTTAAGCCCAAGAGTTTGAGGTTGCTGTGAGCTGTGACAGCACAGCACTCTACCAAGGGCAATAAAGTAAGACTCTGTCTCAAAAAAAAAAATAATAATAATCATTTTATTGTTGAAATTAAATTAGGGCATCCAGACGATAGCTCCATGGCACCATTTTAAAGATGTTATTTGTGGTAAGTTGGATACTCTAAATGGAAATTATTTATGAAAAAGAAGCTTTAAAAAATGAAGATATTTATACCAGAAAGTCTGTGTGTTCACAATACTGTCTCAATTTGTTGGACAGTAAAGACCAAAAAGTAAAAGCAAACTGGAGGTGTTTCCTTTTTAACATTTATATGATCATATGTAACTTGTTTGGTAACTATTTATTTTGTATTTCTAAAAAATCAAATATTTGGCCATTTTATAACTAACATCTCAATGCACTTGATGAAAATTCTTTCAAATAGCATCATTTATAAAAAAGTAAACTCAAGAAAACATTTGGGATTTTCTGTTGTTCATGCTACTCACGGAGCTCTGCAAGCATCAAAAGTGTTCAGAAGAAAATAAACTGAAAACAAAATGACTTACCGACAATTAATCCCATGGTGAGGTAAAGCTGCACGACAGTCTTGCTGAAGGAGGCCAAGATCATGCCCGTACAGCACAGCAGACCTCCCACCATCACCACCGGCCGGCTGCCATGTTTATTCACCAAGACACTGCTGATGGGACCTGGAGTGCAGGATGGAGAAGACTGAGAAATAGCCAATTGCTGGGTCATTTATTTAGCTTTGAGATTTGTTGATTTTCAAAGTGGAGAAAGCCTATTTTAATGACCTAAGGAAAAAATACTAATTCAAATGGGAGGTAATGAAGACACTTCATTATTTCACAAATGATTAAATTGGCAGGTTATTTTTAACCATCTATACGAAAACACGTGAAATAACAAATTAGAAGTATTTAACATATAGTTTTTTATGACCACAACCATTTAAATTTTGATAGAAAGGTTTTCAACAGAACACAGATAAAATGCCCCAAATATCTTTTTTTCTTTATTACAAACAGTTTTTATATATTTTTTAATTAAATCATAGCTGTGTACATTAATGCAATTATGGGGTACATTGTGCTAGTGTTATATACAATTTGAAATACTTTCATCCAACTGGTTAACATAGCCTTCACTGCATTTTCTGAGTTACTGTGCTAAGACATTTATATTCTACACTTAATAGATTTAACATGTACCCTTGTAAAATGCACAAATGCCTCAAATAACTTGATAAATGCAGGTTAAATTTGTGCAATGAAAATCTAGGGACTATATAAATAACTTGCCCATTAAAATTTTATATGCCATTAATTAGAGCTCAAATTGTTTTTTTATGATATTTAAGGGTCATTTTTTAATAACATATTTCACTGATTCTAAAACACACATTGGGTTCCTGTCCTATTCTATTAGCAATAAGGATGCCTCACATGTGCTGACTTCTTCTCATCTCTGTTCATGCGGTGGCAGTCACCGGTAGTAATATAACTATTATGGCCTGTATATGTATACTTGAACATGGTTATTATTTCCTGTGACTTGATTGCACAACAGATTTCAATCAAACTTTTTAAGGAGCACTTGAAAAGAAAAATAATAAATCCTGGCCAAGCACAGTGGCTCACACCTGTAATCCTAGCACTCTGGGGGGCCAAGGCAGGTGGATTGCCTGAGCTAAAGAGTTTGAGATCAGCCTGAGCAAAAGTGTGACCCCCATCTCTACCCAAAAAACCCAAAAAACTTTGTGGTGGGTGCTTGTAAGTCCCAGCTACTTAGGAGGCTGAGGCAAGAGGATCCCTTGAGTCCAACCTTGTATGAGGTTGCTGTGATGACACCACGGCACTCTACCAGGGTGACAGAGTAAGACTCTGTCTCAAAAGCAAATAAAAAAGAAGGAATACTGATTTTTGTGTAAAAATTGTTCGTTGACACATTCTAGTAAGATGTAAAAAGTAGCAGTATCAAAACTTAGAGATAAGTGCAGCAGTTTAGAGAAAAAGATCAGGAATGAATTGCACATCGGCACAGAGAGCAATCTGATGTGAGAAATGTGACTCAAGGACTCTGATGCAAAAGCCATTTGGAAGAGTCAGCTACTGACTGGAAAACGTTTCAGGGATTCCTCATGCCAATGTATTCAATGTATATTTTCCAATGTATATATCTAGGGGGTATATATGAACTATTCAGGAGTGATTAAAACAATACAATCTATATTTAACTCTACACAAATTATTTCAGCAATAATAAAATAAAAGTTCTGAATATTAAGAAATTGCTGTGTTATTTCAACGGCAGTAATAGCTTCCTTCCTGGTGTATCTTAAAATAACGGCACAACTTAGTCTCCTGAGGCTATCTCAGAGTTAGTGAAATTTTACACTGTTCTATGAGATAATGTGTAAAAGCCTTACTTTGACAGTCTCTTCTAACCTTAAAATTGCATTTCATCTGAAAAAAGCTATAAGGATAGTGCTTGGAAAAAATAAATATTGGTTGGGTCAGAGTACTCACTCCCAAATTTGTCCTGGAAAAAAATAATTTTTTTAGCTAAGACTGTTATTTTAAAAATCCCCCCGTATCCTGTATTTGAGAATTTCTACATGGATCTCATTTAAAACACACCAGAAATTCATTTATCAATATTATTTCACAAGAATAAAATTATTTTTATTCTTAAAATAAAACTTTGAAATTAAACCTCAGTTCCTAACAGTATTTAATATTACTTCACAGTATCTTTTGAAAGGATATGGATAATAGCACATGATTTTAAGAAGAGATAAACAGAATTCAAAAATTTGCATTTATAGTTGCTGACGACATAAAATTTTTCAAAAGCCATTATAAAATCTCTACACAAGCAGAGTTGGGGTAAAATGAAAGGAAATTGTGCAAGATGAATAAAAATAATAGAATTCTATAAAATGGTAAAGTGCAGGAGAAGAGAAGAAATTATACTTACAGAGAATATATGTAATATATATTATAAATAGGCATGCTTGATGATTCAGGGTCCATTTCCAGACAACCTCAATAGAGCAAATATTGCAATAAAGTAAGTTAGACCATTTTTTGGCTTTCCAGTGTATACAAAAGTTAGAATTCCACTGTACGTAGTCTATTCAGTGTTCATAGCATTACGTCTAAAATACAACATACATTGTGTTCATTGTACAGTGTTCATTGACAAAATGGTGACAATGATCCGAGCTCTCAATGCGTCAGAATCTTTTTGCAGGTGGAAGGTTTGGCCTCAATGTTGCTGACTGGTCGGGACAGTGGTTGCTGAAGACTGGAGTGGCTGTGGAGATTTCTTAAAACGAGACGATTACGTTTGCCACATCAATTGACAAGTGACCGTTCCTTTCACAGGCTATTTCTCTGTAGCATGCAATGCAATTTGACAGCATTTTACACACAGCAGAACTTCTTTCAAAATTGGAGTTTATTCTCTTAATCCCTGCTGCTGCTTTATCGACGACCTTTACCCCACATTCTAAATCCATTGTTGTTATCTCAATGATGTTCACGGTATCCTCACCAGGAGCAAATCCCAACTCAAGAAACCCCTTTCTATGCTCATCTGTACAAGCGATTCTACCCCGTACGTTCCAGTTTTGTCCTGAGATTGCAGTTATTCACTCACATCCGAGGCTCCATGTCTAGGTCTAGTTCTCCTGCTGTTCCCGCCACATCTGCAGTGACTTCCTCCACGGATGTCGTGGACCAGACAGCCACAAGGGCTGGAATCAACTTCTTCCAAATTCCTGTTAATATTATTATTTTGACTTCCTTTCATAAATCACAAATATTCTTAATGCTGTCTAGAATGGAGCATCATTTCCAGAAGGTTTTCAGTTTACTAGCCCAGATGCATCAGAGAAAGCCTATTTAGGGCAACTATAAACTTACAAAATGCATTTCTCAAACAATAAGACTTGAAAATTTGAAAAGTCTCCTTGATATGTAGGCTAGAGCAAGGATGTGGTGTTAGCAGGCACGAAAACACTAATCTCCTTATACGTCAGCGTTCTAGGTGACCAGGTGCATTGCCAATGAGCAGTAATATTTTCTAATGAATCTTTTTCTAAGAAACATGTCTCAACAGTGGGCTTAAAATATTCAGTAAATCACGCTATAAAGAGACATGCTGTCATTGGGCTTTGTTGTTCCATTTACAGAACCCAGATAGAGTAGATTTAGTGTAATCCCTAAGGGCCCTAGCATTTTTGGAATGGTCAGTGAGAACTGGCTTCAACTTAAAGCCACCAGCTATCTTAGCCACTAACAGAGTCAGCCCGTCCTTTGAGGCTGTCACACCAAGCATGGATTTCTCCTCCTTAACTATGAAGTCTTAGACCGGATCTTCTTCCAACAGCAGGTGGTTCAACTACACACACTAGAATTTTTAGTGTAGCCGCCTCCGTCAATGATCTTAGCTAGTCTTCTGGATAACTTGCTGCAGCTTCTCCATCAGCACCTGCGGTTCCCCTTGGATTTTTAAGCCACGGAGACGGCTTCCTTCTTTAAACGTCATAAACCCAACCTCTACTTCAGACTTTTCTTCTTTAGCTTCCTCACTTCCTTCAGCCTCCATGGGATTGGAGAGAATGAGGGCTCTGCTCTAGATGGGACTTCGGTCGAAGGGAAGGTCACTGCTGATTTGTTCTTCTATCCAGATCACTAACACTTTCCCCATTTTTCCTTCTGTATTCACAACTTGATTAATTTTACAGCAAAAAGCCCGGATTTTGTCATATCCTACCAGGTGACACCTTCCTAAATGAGCTGAATCATTCCTAACTTTTGATTTAAAGTGAGAGAACTGGGACTCCGTTTTTTCACTCAAACACTTAGAGGCCATTGTAGGGTAATGAACTCCAGTATTTCTGTTTCTGGGCATGGGAGCAGAGGTCTATGGAGCAGTGAGAATACACATCTATTAAGTTTTTCTATCTTACAAGGGCAGGGCTTATGGCACTCAAAACAATTACAATAGTGACATCCAAGATCATGGATCATGTATCATCGTAACAGTTATAATCATAATAAAAAAGTTTCAAATATTACAAGAATCATCAAAATGGGACACAGAGGCATGAAATGAGCACCTATTGTTGGAAAAATGGAACTGACGGACATTTTTAAAGCAGGCTACATGCTGTAAAACGGCAGTAGAAAACAAAGTATGCCTGTATTTTAATTTCTGTCATTTATGAATATATTGTATTAAAAATCACCACTAAATGATAAGAGAAGTGTGGTTATGTATCATTTGGCAAGTTTTGTTTAATATTTTCAGTAAACCTCTCAGAAATCCAGACGTTTATTGACTGGTAATCTTCCTTTTGTCCATGAGACGTTTCCAGTTCTCTGCTTTTCTGGTGAGCTGGCCTTCCAGCCAGCCTACATCTTGTGAATGGGACAGTTAGACTGTAAATACTGAGTGACAAGACTGATAGGTGGCAGGCTGTCCCATTCATACTGTTGGGCAGTACCTTATTGCTTTGTTTTTCCTCTTCTGCTATTGTTTTTTGTGAGCTATGAGCTTTAGCTGGGGGGTGATTTTATACTGCTGGGTGTCTCGGGTGCTGATCCAGGGATAACACATACTTGAGTCTTTCCTTCAGGGAAGTCTGGCTGAGACAAGTTCTCTCAGTGTTTATTTGTCT